TATAAATGAAAATATTTAATGTGAATGTGAAACATCAATGATTAAAGTTATTAATATGTGTCATTAATAAGCCACATGTAACAAAGAATCCAACTCATCACATCATCACCAATAACATATAGCCAAATGTAAAGAATCCACGTCATCACTAATCAAATCCAACCACGTGTCGGACAATCTGCCTACGTGTCAAAATAAAGGAATTCTACCTCTTCAAAAGGGCTCTCATATAGCCTATGCCTCAAGACTTATATATACATAATTAGGGTGATAATCTTGTTAATTTGATAACGAAACATTATTCATATAACTTCTAAAAAGTAAAAAACAATATCCCTTGAATTTTTAATATATCACATTCGATTATCTGAAATATCGATTTTGGTATATTTAAAAGTTCTAAGAAAAAATAGAAAGAAAAAAAAAAAAACATTTTTAATATCATTGTAAATTAAATCCAAACTTCAATAAGATATTTATTTAAATCTTATAATTTATAAATAAGAAAGGTAAAAAAAATTCCAAAAGTCAAACTGAAAAGCACCTGAAGGTGGATTTACATTTTTAACCTTTAGGGTGCTAAGTGAAATCATGAAGGTTGTTTATGAAATTTGTCAAAACATTTCTCTTTAATCAGTTTAATGCATTTGCATTTTGCAATAAACTTGCTTCGGAAAAAAAACCCTAAAAAACACTCTTCATACATGGCTTTGAGATCCCTATTTCGTTGATCTTCAATCTCTCAAAACCCATCTTTAAAAGTTAATGTTTTATTTTTGTTAGCTCACTTACACAACCTCACATCTTCAAGCTCCAGAAATAAAGTTTTGTATTCTTTGGAAAAACCCCTGGAACGATCCTCACTTGCTAAATTCCTCAAAGAAAATTGTCAATCAGGTAGCTTTACTCTGAATGAAGCATTGTACTTTTTTTATTACATGATTAAAACGAAACCCATTTCTCCAATGTCATCATTCACTATTTTGTTTAGTGCACTAGCTAAGAAGAAGCATTATTATGAAGTGATTTCGCTTTATAAGCTATTGAATTCAATTGGGTTGTCTTCGGATCTTATATCTTTGAATATTTTGATGAATTGCTTCTGTAATATTGAAAGGGTTTCTGAAGGTTATGCGATTTTTGGGGCGATTTTGAAGTTGGGTTTTAGCCCAAATACAGTGACATTTACTTGTTTGATTAAAGGTCTATGTGTAGAGAGAAAGATTATGGAATCAATGGAATTATTTAAGCAAATGATTGCTGTTGGTTGTTGCCCTCATGTGATCGCTTGCAACACTTTAATTGGTGGATTCTGTAAAACAGGAAAGATAAGTGTTGCCATTAAGTTGCTTGAAGAGATGGTTAATGGGAATAAAGTCTGGTGTTATTTGTAGGCTAGATGTTGTTACTTATAGTACTATAATTGATGGCCTCTGTAAGGCTGGATTGGTTGAGAAGGCTAGACAACTATTGTTGGAACATATGATTCAAAGAGGTGTGGTTCCTCAAATTTATACGTACAACATTTTAATAAACGATTATTACTTGGCAGATAGAATTGATGATGCAAAGGAGTTGTTTGATTCTATAACTAGAAAGGGTATAGGCCTAATGTTGTTTGCTACACTACTTTAATCAATTGGTATTGCAAGAATAAAGAAGTCAATGAAGCTCTTAGTCTTTACCGAGAGATGATTTCAAAAGGAATTAGGCCTAATGTGATTACATATACCACCTTGTTAATTGGCTTTTTTCTTATAGCTAAGGTGAAAGATACACGGAATTTAGTTGGTGGGATGCAACTTAACGATGCTTTCCCTGAAACCTGGACATATAACATTTTCATTGATGGACTTTTCAAGATTGGATGTGTTTTGAAGCATTGGAATTGTTTAATACTCTAGTAATTAGTAAGTTTGCAGTTGGCATTGAAGGTTTGAGTTCCCTCATTGACGGACTATGTAAAACAAGGAGATTCGAAACTGCTTGGGACCTATTTCAGAATTTTTCTCTTCATGGAAACCTAGTGCTAGATGTTGTAACATATAGCATTTTGATCAATGGGCTGTGTAAAAATGGACAACTAGAAATGGCAAATGAGTTATTGTCATATATGGAGGAAAAAGGTTGTGCTCCAAATGTAGTCACATTTAATACGCTTATGTTTGGTTTCCTCAGGAATAATGAGATACCAAAAGTTGTTGAACTCCTTCATAAGATGGCAGAGAAAAATGTGAAGTCGACTGAATGTACAATGTCCTTAGTCATGCAGTTACTAATGAAGGCCGAAAATTATAGTGGATGTTTGAATGAGCTTCCTCAATTTCCAGTCCAAAAGTGAAATTGAAGTTTACTTGATAAAACTTTAGTGGGTATTAAACTTTTTTTCAGAGCAGAATCTTGCAAAAGTTCATCCAGCTGCCCAAATACTCTATATTAGTTACAGTAAGCAGAAGGTTCAGTAAACACTTTTATCTGTTCGAATTTGATAGGGATGTTGATGGGATGATTGAGAATGATAGCTTTCCTGATCAGACATACGATACGTGATTTGTCTATGTTGTAAGTACATATATTGGAGCTGGCAGCATTGCAGGTTGTGTTGGGATTTGCACATGTAGTAGATCTTAAGGGTTTGAGGATTATTTTTGGTGTAAATTTCAGTAAGCAAAAGTTGTATATGAGGAATTGTGGAATGGTTCTTACTTCAACTATGACAATAATGGTAGCCACTTAAGTTCATCTATTCAAGCTGATTAGTTCATTGGAAGATGGTATGTTGCAACTGATTAACTTCATTAATTGATATTCTCAAATATCCAGGCCTGATAAATCTTGATTTATTTAGTGTTTCACATGTTTCTGTTTCTCAATATATATTCTTTTTTAGTTCAAATCTGATAAGACTAGAACTTACCATGTGTGTCTCTAATGTAGTTACGCATGAGCATGTGCTCTTTCAGCGACAGTTGATGAAGACAAAGCAAAAAGAGCATTAGAGAAGGTTTTTCACTATAATATCTTAAAGAATATGGATGCACAACAGGGGCGGGTCAATGGGATCTACCTATTGGAACAGCTGACATGACAACATTGCAATCAAGAAAAATATGGTCTGGTTTTACATATGCAGTTGCTGTATGATAATTGTGGAGATTAGGTTTATATGGGATTTCAAATTGCCATTGAAATCTATGAAGCAGCATGGTCTGAAAATGGACTCGGGTAAGAACCCCCTAAGTTTATCAAACGCTGTTATCTTATAGCTTAGTTAATAGGCTGTTAACTAAGGGATAAGTTTGAGCTTTTTAGATCTAAATCTATCTCAAATCTGTATAGATTTCATTGCATCATCTGTTTTGTCAGTTCATTTATTTTTTTTGGTGGATGTGCCGTTTAACCATTTTCTAGTAGATTCTTGATGTTGTGAAATGTTGGACAAAACTCCGGTAGTTATGATGTCTAGTAGATAATATTTTTGCTCCTTAGGTGATGAAGGAGGAGCAAAAATATTAATAGGGAGATAGAGAAAAATGAATAGGTTAAGAGGAGAAATCAAGAAAGGGATACCAAGGACTCAAATACTCTATCCGAAAATGTAGAAGATGAGGACTAAATACCCATTTGTACCCTTCCTTTTATGTCCTGCATCTCTGGTTACTGCTTTAGGTAATTTTCTGCCAATTACAATTGGAAACTTTACATGCTATATAATTTACACTGAACTATTTTTTCCTGATAATTCACTAACTCATTGTTGTTTTCTGCGTAGTTATTCTTTCTAAACTCTTGAAACTTGGACCACCGTTGATTGTTTTAGAGTGCTAAGTTACATGCATTCTTTGGCCTTATGGGCAATGGGCTCTTACATGGCTAAAACCTTGTAAGTGGGATGAAACCAACAATAAATGAAGAATGTCTGTATAGATATCATGCAAGATTCTGCAAAGTTGCTCGCCTTCTAAAGGTATCGGATGAGAAAACGCTTAAAGGTCTTTTACACTCGCTCTTGTATTACACTTGCAAGAAGATGTTTCCATAATTGATTGGTTCTTGTGACTTATTACCATCATGCAATTGTATGTATAGTAATGAGTTGTACTTTAAAAGAAAACATTTGAAATGCTGTAACGCCCCACTCGAGGTACGTAGTTAAAGTGTGTTGTATTGCTTGAATGTTTATTGAGTTGTTCTCATTTGAGCTTGCATGTTGTCATTTTCAGTTGGTTGGTCCTTAGTTGGATTGATGAGTTGATTTGGTTAAGTGTTTGCCCTGATGTTGGTTGAGACTTGGTGAATTTTTGAAATTCAGTCTTTGCCGCGGCAACGTTGGCTTTGTGATTCGTGAGTCAATTCTGTAATTTTTTGCCGGGGCGACGAAAAGTTCTTCGCCGTGACGACGGGCTAGTTGAAAAGTTTAATGAAGTTTCTAGAGGATTTTCCATAGGGGTACAATGACCATTCTACCCCTAATTAGCAGGAAAAGTGGGGAGTGAAATGCAAGAAAATTGCATGGTGAATAGTTTAAATGGGGGTGCATTTGCAAAGAATTAAAGGGCAAAGTTGGAATTCCTAAGAGAGAGTAAGGGTAAAATGGGAAAGAGTGGAGAAAATATGAGATATTAAGGGTTTAGCTTTAGAAACCCTTTCATTCTTTCTTTTCCACTGCCTCTTCCATCCTTCAATTCTCTCANCACATGTTTCTGTTTCTCAATATATATTCTTTTTTAGTTCAAATCTGATAAGACTAGAACTTACCATGTGTGTCTCTAATGTAGTTACGCATGAGCATGTGCTCTTTCAGCGACAGTTGATGAAGACAAAGCAAAAAGAGCATTAGAGAAGGTTTTTCACTATAATATCTTAAAGAATATGGATGCACAACAGGGGCGGGTCAATGGGATCTACCTATTGGAACAGCTGACATGACAACATTGCAATCAAGAAAAATATGGTCTGGTTTTACATATGCAGTTGCTGTATGATAATTGTGGAGATTAGGTTTATATGGGATTTCAAATTGCCATTGAAATCTATGAAGCAGCATGGTCTGAAAATGGACTCGGGTAAGAACCCCCTAAGTTTATCAAACGCTGTTATCTTATAGCTTAGTTAATAGGCTGTTAACTAAGGGATAAGTTTGAGCTTTTTAGATCTAAATCTATCTCAAATCTGTATAGATTTCATTGCATCATCTGTTTTGTCAGTTCATTTATTTTTTTTGGTGGATGTGCCGTTTAACCATTTTCTAGTAGATTCTTGATGTTGTGAAATGTTGGACAAAACTCCGGTAGTTATGATGTCTAGTAGATAATATTTTTGCTCCTTAGGTGATGAAGGAGGAGCAAAAATATTAATAGGGAGATAGAGAAAAATGAATAGGTTAAGAGGAGAAATCAAGAAAGGGATACCAAGGACTCAAATACTCTATCCGAAAATGTAGAAGATGAGGACTAAATACCCATTTGTACCCTTCCTTTTATGTCCTGCATCTCTGGTTACTGCTTTAGGTAATTTTCTGCCAATTACAATTGGAAACTTTACATGCTATATAATTTACACTGAACTATTTTTTCCTGATAATTCACTAACTCATTGTTGTTTTCTGCGTAGTTATTCTTTCTAAACTCTTGAAACTTGGACCACCGTTGATTGTTTTAGAGTGCTAAGTTACATGCATTCTTTGGCCTTATGGGCAATGGGCTCTTACATGGCTAAAACCTTGTAAGTGGGATGAAACCAACAATAAATGAAGAATGTCTGTATAGATATCATGCAAGATTCTGCAAAGTTGCTCGCCTTCTAAAGGTATCGGATGAGAAAACGCTTAAAGGTCTTTTACACTCGCTCTTGTATTACACTTGCAAGAAGATGTTTCCATAATTGATTGGTTCTTGTGACTTATTACCATCATGCAATTGTATGTATAGTAATGAGTTGTACTTTAAAAGAAAACATTTGAAATGCTGTAACGCCCCACTCGAGGTACGTAGTTAAAGTGTGTTGTATTGCTTGAATGTTTATTGAGTTGTTCTCATTTGAGCTTGCATGTTGTCATTTTCAGTTGGTTGGTCCTTAGTTGGATTGATGAGTTGATTTGGTTAAGTGTTTGCCCTGATGTTGGTTGAGACTTGGTGAATTTTTGAAATTCAGTCTTTGCCGCGGCAACGTTGGCTTTGTGATTCGTGAGTCAATTCTGTAATTTTTTGCCGGGGCGACGAAAAGTTCTTCGCCGTGACGACGGGCTAGTTGAAAAGTTTAATGAAGTTTCTAGAGGATTTTCCATAGGGGTACAATGACCATTCTACCCCTAATTAGCAGGAAAAGTGGGGAGTGAAATGCAAGAAAATTGCATGGTGAATAGTTTAAATGGGGGTGCATTTGCAAAGAATTAAAGGGCAAAGTTGGAATTCCTAAGAGAGAGTAAGGGTAAAATGGGAAAGAGTGGAGAAAATATGAGATATTAAGGGTTTAGCTTTAGAAACCCTTTCATTCTTTCTTTTCCACTGCCTCTTCCATCCTTCAATTCTCTCAAGCTTTCATTCAATTTTCCCAATGATTTTTGGAGGGCTTTTGACTAGAAGTTAATACAAGTTGATCCTAAGCACTTAAAGGTAAGAATCCTTACTCTAGATGTGAATTTTATTGGTATAAGAGTAGGATCCTTACTAAGTTTGTGTTGAAGGTTTAAAAGAAAGCATCAAGCCATCAAGAGTAGAGAGCTTAAATGGATTCTGCTTGAGTATAAGGTAAGTAAATCCACCTAAGTTGTGATTTGCATGATGGAATGATGTATAGAGATTTGTATATGATTAATGCTTGAATTTTTATGTTTGAAATGAGTTGATGGATGTATGAATGAGTTCAATGTTGATTTATGGAGAGATGTCCACCATGAGAAGGGTGGATTGTGTTGATAAAATTTGATAGAAGTATGGATAGATTTAGAAGAATTTGAGAGGAATATTTGAAGTGTGTTTTATTTGTAGGATGTGTGATGATTTAAAGGAGTTGAACTCCAATTTTTGGATGGTTAAGAAAGAAGTAGAATTATAGTTAGAGTAGAGTTTAGGTATGCACACATATTGTTTGATGAAATGCCTAAGAGAAGCATGAGTAGAAGTAGAGAACCTTACTTTATGCAACATAGCATATTTGCAGTTCATGAGTGCATATAAGAAAGATTCTAGGCATGAGCTATCCATATGCATATGTTTATATGTGTAATCATCAAAGAAAGAAAGAAAGAAATATGAGTAATGAGAAAGAAATACCCTAAGAACAAAGATAAAGAAAAGAACTACTTCTCTTAGAATAAAGAGAAAGAAATAATTAGCACTAGATAATAAAATGAATAAAAAAAAAAAAAAAAGTGCTAAAGAAGAGAAAAGAGAATAGGTTGTGCGATGGGGAACTCATGAGTGTAGAATTACACACATGTAAACCGCCGTGAGAGAGCTGTCTCCGCCATGAGAGAGCGGAATGAGAATGAGAAAAAGAATTAGTATAGTTGTAAGAATACATGCGGATGAGGGCTATACACGAGAGAGAGTACACTCACATGGCCAAGGGTTCTGAATCCATGCATCAACCAAGACCGATCGGCAAAGAATAAGAGAAAGAATAAGAATGAGAAAGAATGAAAAACATGAGAAAAAAATAAGAGAAAGAATAAGAATGAGAAAGAATGAGAAAAGAATAAGAAAAGAATAGAAAGAAAAGAAAAAAGAGAAAATGCATTGCTTTGCATTAGTGTATATGCATCTCATCCATGCATGTTATCATGATATCCCTCATGGGTGATGAGAATAGAGAGGAAGAAAGAATAGAAAGAAAGAAAAGAACAGTGAGAACTAGAAACAGAGAAAGAACAAGAGAGATTGAATAAGAGAAAGTGACAAGAGTAAGGAAAAAAAAATTTGAAAAGTGATACACGGGGATAGTGGAGTAGAGGATTTACTTACTGAGCATCTTTGTGCTCACCTCGTTGTTTTATATGTTTTTGCAGGACATAGGTGAGGACATGGTCGGATCGATGTTGGCAAGCGGGGAGACTTGGCTACACTGTCCACTGTTATGAGAGTCTTTTTGTACAAATGATATTGTACTATGTAAAGAATGTATATATTAGTAAAGAAAATTTTTGGGCCCAACTATTTTGATAAGTATTGGTGTATTTTTATTAATATATTGGATGAATATGATAGTAGAAAGAAGTCTTTACAAATGCTTATGTAGATTATATTGTTCTACTATTAGTTATCCGATTCTTGTAACTATTCTCAGAATTTAGTTTTCATGGGTACCATTGTTTCCAAATTTTGCAAACAATAAGGGTTATAACATAGATTACAATGTTATAGGAACTAGGAAGCACATTCATAACAAATTTTTTTTATTGAGATGGGTGTATGTTTGACTGTTTAATCACTTGATATGTGCTTATCATATATGTTAATGTATCAGTTAACATATATGATCAGTTACTAGTTTTATAGGTTCTGATCAATTTTCCATTTCACAATATTAGAATTTAGAACAATTATTAGTTTATGGTTTCAGATCATTTATCAGTTATTAGTTTTAATGTATTAGAAATGAACTAATAAAGTAAACAATTAATAATAATAGTTTTAGTACTAGATATTAGACATTAAAAGTACAGAACCAGAGAAAATATATAATATATCTGTAGTTTATTATTATCAGTTTTTAAGAAATAATTTAGATAATTGTACCATCGTTATATAGACATTATTTTCAGAAAAGTATAAGTAAAGAAAAAATGTTTTACAATATCATCTATTCACTGAATATCTTTAGGTCATCACAGGAATTGTGTTAAGCAGTGATTTCTGCTAAAGGTTGGGTCCACATGACAGTTTCATTTTGCATGTCATGCCGCATGTAATGATATAAACTGCATGAGGGTTATCACCCATAGACATATTATATGCATATTTCCATATGAACTTATGATATGTGCCATTTTGTTTTCAGAAAAAAGATTTGGTACTAAAGAATTTTCTTTCAAAGAAAAATATGAAATACTATAATAAAATGAATAATTATAACATAAAAGAAACATCTATTTACCTTTTGTTTTGTTTCTATTTTTTCTATTATATATTTGTCAAGAAAAATAAGTCCTAATTAGTAAACATATTTTTTAAATTATTAGACAATTTGTGGTTTATTACCCTGTCACCTCTAAGGTCTGGAAACTAACAATTGTACCCCTAATGAAGTTTTGTTCCAATTAATGATCGTGTAAGGGATAAGAAAGACATTTTGAATAAACGGTTATTTTTTTTTTAACATCTGAAAAATACAACAATACCAAAATAATTTGTCTTCTTTTCAAAATGGATACTATGTACGATAATTTTCCTGATAAATTTAAGATCTTAATTTAGTTTATTTTCTCATTTTATTGTAAAACCCCCCTCCAGTCAGGTATCCTCTGAATATCCCTCAATGAGAATCTCGAGGATACATGTCTAGAAAACGAGTTGTATTTAGAAAAAATATCTGTGTAAGGATAATAATAGTAATATCCAATACATGCATATAAAATGCCATGCAAGAACCAAACATATAATTTCAAAACTTTAAGAATTTATCCATAAAATACACATTTGAAACATATTTATAAGGTGGACTATTCCAAAAGTTGTTTCACAAATATTTATCATTTACATTATTTACATCAAGATAAAAACATCAAGATGACAATAAATCATCTCCCCTCACGTGTAGCCCCGCTGTCTCTAGCATCCCTCGCTTCTAATCTACCTACAAAGAAATCAACAATAAAAGGGTGAGCACTAATCGCTCAGTGAGGAATGATCCGTTTCATTCTAAATATGCTATTTGATCTTTATTTAAACATATTTGTTAACAAATCACTTATCTTTTACATCTAGGGATACTTCCCCTTTTATTACTAATTCATATGCTTTTCATCATTTTATCCCATGGCTATATAAACATCAATGTGTACACATACAAATAAGTATGTAAACATAGTACACACACATCACATATCATGACATAACATCTAAAA